CTAACCCTACCCTGGTTCAAACCCCTAACCCTAAAGAGGGGTAAAATACCACTGAAAATGCAGCGATTTTGAAAAAGCCTTACATGTGTAGCTTTTTCTGCACACCTCATCATTTCTGCCCATTCTCAACACATTCAAACAATAAAATCATGCCAGGACACCACATTTTCCTAACCCTAACCCTAACCCTACCCTGGTGCACATCCTTAACCCTAAAGAGGGGTAAAATACCATTGAAAATGCAGCAATTTTGAAAAAGCCTTATATGTGTAGCTTCTCCTGCACACCTCATCATTTCTGCCAATTCTAAACACATTCCAACCATCAAAATCATCCAATTACACTTCACTTTCCTAACCCTACCCAGGTGCACACCCTTAACCCTAATATAGGGGTAAAATAACTTTGAAAAGAGCGCGATTTTCAAAATGACTTCCGTGAGTAGCTTTTTCTGCAAACATCATCATTTCTGCCCATTGTAAACACATTCCAATGATGAAAATCATGCCAGGACACCACGTTTTCCTATGCCTAAACCTATCATGTTGCAAACCCCTAACCCTAATAGAGAGGTAAAACACATTTGAAAATGCTGCGATTTTTAAAAATCCTTCCTTTAGCAGGTTCTTCTGCGCAGCTCATCATTTGTTCCCATTCTAAACACATTCCAACCATCAAAATCATCCCATTTCAGCTCGTTATCCTAACCCTAACCCTACCATGGTTCACACCCTTAACCTTAATACAAGGGTAAAATACAATTGAAAATGCAGCGATTTTGAAAAATCCTTCCATGGGTAGCTTTTTCTGCACACCTCATCATTGCTGCCCATTCTAAACACATTCCGACCATCAAAATCTTGCCAGGACAACTTGTTTTCTTAACCCTAACCCTATCTCGGTGCACACCCATAACCCTAAAATAGGGGTAAAATATCATTGAAAATAATGCGGTTTTGAAAAATCCTTCCATGAGCAGGATTTTCTGCACACCTCATCATTTCTACTCATTCTAAACAAATTCCAACCATCAATATCATGCCAGGACACCTCGTTTTCCCAACCCTAATGCTACCCTGGTGCACACCCCTAACTCTAATATAGAGGTAAAATACCATTTAAAATACTGCGATTTTGAAAAATCCTTCCATGAGTGCGTTTTCTGCACTGCTCATCATTTGTGCCCATTCTAAACACATTCCAACCGTCAGAATTAGGCCAGGACTGCTCGTTTTCCTAGCCCTAACCCTACACTGGTGTGCACCCCTAACCCTAATATAGGGGTAAAATACCTTTGAAAAGACTGCAAGTTTGAAAAATCCTTCTGTGCCGAAAAAGCTGCTCATGGAAGAATTTTTGAAGCTCGCATTATTTTCAATGGTATTTCACCCCTTTATTAGGTTCAGGTCTGTGCACCAGGGTAGGGTTAGGGTTAGGAACATGCGGTGTCCTGGCATGAGTTCGATGGTTGGAATGTGTTTAGAATCGGCAGAAATGATGAGCTGTGCTGAAAATGCTGCTCAAGAGAGAAAGCGTAGCGATATTGGAACCGAAAGAAAAGCAAAATGTTAGAATCGTGGAGGCTAAACATAAATTGATAAATATATATGTTATATATATGGCTTTTTAAATTTAAGGACAAATCGTATCATTCTCTTTAACCGTAATTGGAGTAAACACACCCTCTAAGAGGAGTAGGGCTTTCTCTCAACTTCAAATATTGAAACTTGATATAATTTGTCTACAAGAAACACACATTAATGGACAACATATAACGCTTTTGGAATGTGCAAAACTCAGAAAGTTATTTATATCTTCTGCCCATCAAAGAAAATATTTTTGGCATTATAAATCAAGGAACAATTAAATCCCAAATATATTCTAGCAGATGAAGATGGTAGAATTTTGTTGGTTGAAATCACAATGAAACTTTAGAATGGTGCTTTTAGTGGTGATCTGTGTTCCAAATGATCACCAGAAAGCATTCTATCAAAAATTAAATACTCTACTTTTGCAAATGGACTACCAAACTTTGTGTTTAATGGGAGATTTCAATGCAATTTTGGATTAAAAAAATAGACCACAAGAGTGAGACTAAGGAGAAGAAAGGTAGGAGGTTACTTCCAAAGTCATGTTTTAATATATTAGAAGAATTCAGACTAACAGATGCCTGGAGACATAAAAATCCAACCTCTGCTAAGTATACTTTTTACTTGAACAGACATAAGTCATGGTCTAGAATTAATATGATTTGGATAACTCCAGCCTTAGTTCCAGACCTATCAGAAGCCGAAATAGATACAAATGTCTGGGTAGATCATAAAATCCTGTAACCATGACCCTGAAAGGGACAACAAAATCACCCAGATGGGCATTTAATAAATTTTTATTAAAAGATAAAAATTTTAAAGAAGAAATAACCAAGGAATTAATTTTTTTTCAAGTAAATAAAACTGAAGTAGCCTTTTTGCAAAATGTTTGGTTCACAGCTAAAGCATATGTTAGAGGTCTGATAATAACATATTCAGCAAAAATAAATAAAAAGAGGAAGCAGGAATGATTTAAACTAGTAGATGAATTGGCGAAGGTTGAACAGGAGCTTCAGGAAGACCCATCAAAAAAAGACCTTAAGACACAAATGAATATTTTAAAACACAAATTGAACCTCTTAGATACAACTGAACTTACCAAAGAAATGAAATTGACTAAACAGAACTTTTTTGAAAATGCTAATAAATCAGGGAGGTGGTTAGCTTACGAACTAAAGAAGGAAAGAGAAAAGAGACTAATATATAAATTGAAAGATGGAGAATGACAACTGCAGGTACAAAGTGTGTCTGTGCTAAAATGGACAGGCTGACTTTGTCTCTGAAGGAGAAAGAGGATACATACTTCTATCAAACTTGGAACTCTTTTTATTATTGGCTAAAGAAATGGATGATTGATGTTTTTTAATTTCTTGTTTTTTAGTTTGTGGAAAATAATAATAAAATTTACTTTAAAAAAAGAATGGGCAGAAATGATGAGCTGTGCAGAAAATGCTACTCAAGAAAGACTTTTTCAAAATCATGAAAGGATATATTTATATATTTGCTTGGACTGGCTGTGAGTTATTTCTTCTACACTAAAACCTTAGTTTGCAGGTTTTATTTCAGTGTTGGCACTTTGTGATAAATAAGTGGGTTCTGGGTTCCAGTTTGGACACTCAGTCTCTAAAAGGTTTGCCATCACTGCAGTAATCTGGACCCCAACTTGTCATATCTTTTTGTGGCTCTGGAATGCCTGGCAGTTCAGCAGCTTCATCAACTGAGAATGTGCAAACTTGTGCAAAACATTCCTAGTGATCCAGGGCCTTCTTGGGGAGTCCGCTTGGTGCAGACCAAAGAAGCCAAATTGAAGAAGCAATGGGATACTGGAGTTCAACAGTTTGAACAAACAAACTGCAAACATTGCAGACAGGCAAACAAATCGCAGCCATTATTACTAATTTAGGACAAATTGATAATTTCAACTGGAAAGTACATACTGACTCTGAAGGCTAATGTGCCAAATGACTTAGTATTCTGAATTACTTCCTTCCTGTGGGTATATTTAAAAGTTTACTGATTGGAAAGAGGTTTCTTCCTAAATCAGTGAAATACAAGGTGTTCTGATATCTTTATTTTCTTCCTGTAATTATCCAACAGCAGCAGCATGCCCTAACCAGATCAAAGAGCAGAATTAGGACAAAGATTCATAGCTCCATTAAAATCACTGAATTTCTGATTTATATCAACTAGTTATTCTGGCCTGCAGTCTGTGTACACCTTCTTGGAAGTGAGCTCAAACAAAATCAGTGTGTCGGACAGGTTCAGTTAAAAATGTCACTCAGCAGTAGATCTTTATTCATTGAACTGCTAGCTTGTAGTACAGAAAGAAATCGATTAAATGGATGTATGGAATAAAACCCAGCAGTGGGTGAGACTAGAACCAGATGTTCATGGACCACTCTATTTCTTCTTCACCCTCTATCTTCTGTTCTCTTTCCCTCCTTGTGTGGCAGATTATCATTTAGAGTGGCTATGTGTCCTCTTTTGCAAAGGACTCTTCTCTGCCTGAAGGTATTCTTTAGCTGATGAACTGCCCAAATGTCTACACTGGACATTTTTACTGTTATTATAACGCCACACTCACTGGCATAGCACATGATACTCATCCCAAACAATCTTCCTCATGCTAGTTCTCTCATAACCTGGTTTTCCTAAGACCAATTATATCATGACTTTGTTATATATTGGATCTTTCCCATGGAATATATTTTGATGTGTGCTAAACTTGTGGAACTGTTCTGGAGGCAATAGGAGTGGGGCCACTGGGTTGTGATGAGGTGTACTGTATTTCTAGTCACATTTACTCTACTAAACTAGATGAATACGATAACAATGAAGAGGAGGGGGGTATTAGCAGATTTATTACAAATTCCAACTTTTTTGAGGGGGGCTCAATAACATAGCCAAAGAAGGACTGAGCATTCTCAGGTCCCACAGAAGATAAGGATGGGGGGCAGAGGGAATGGATTGTAGTATTGTAGAGCGAGCCATGGCTGCATGGCTGAACAGGAATGGTGCACTCTATGCTGCATCATTTCATTGTAGATTCCACTGTTAAAAAATAGGAATACCCCTTTTTGCATACCATAAGCCTTCTGGATAATTCATGCTCATATAATTCCATATTTATTGGTTATATTGCTTTTGCAAGGTTATAGTCTTCCTACATTTCCCTGTAGGGAAGGTATGGAAGGCATTAGAGATACATGAAAAACACTTTCCATGTTTTAATGTTATATTTTGACTTTGTAATATTGCTTGCCCAACATTTAAGAACTTAAATGTTAAGGAATGCTTCTTCCAAGGACCTTGAAAGCCTGACATTTCTGTGAAATGCAGCTGTGACTTTCAGGTTCCAGGTGTGATATAGAAACCAGCTTAATTTGCTAGAGCAAGAAGTTTCCTTATGGGAGCAAAATAAATCCCAAACTTTTGTTGGACAAATGAGATGTGCTACCTGAATTCCTGGTGTGAAAGGAGTTTGGGCTTATAAGTTTTGACTTCAACTTGAAGGAATGCAATAGGCAGGGGAAAAAAATCAACTGAAGCTGTTATAATGACCTTAAATCAGTTATCTCATGTTCTGCTGGACTGCCATTTTGCCCTTCTTCTTGAACAATGAGAGCAAGCAGAGAAAGGGAACTGCTCAATTTAGCAGAGACTATAACAGGTGTGAACTATGGGTGCCTCCCTGTCCTGCCCTTAGGTAGTTCAAATGCTTTGTACATTTATGATCCTAACATTTCACTTGCAAAATCTTGCACGCTTCAACTGCAACCATCCTAGCTATTTCTTTTCTGTGTGATTTAACTGTAGCAGGCCAAAGGTGGACAAAGGTTACTTCAAACAGAAAGCAGGTGGAGGAATAGACAAGTCTATGCATGATGGTTTGGAGGGAAAGAGGTCATGATAAGGGAGATGGAAATGTAACCAGATGCTTTTCAGTTTGTTGGGAACTGAAGGAGCTGCTGCACTGGTTGGGTGGCATGTGTCTTATTTTACAGACAAATTGTCACAGGACAACTGTACTTGGTGTCCTCTGTTTAAAGGATGCCCACACTCTGGCATAAAGTTAAGAAAAGTGTAGAGGCCCCAAAACTGCCCATCAACAGTTAGAACCTGCACAGAAGTCAGCTTTCCATCATGGCAAGATATGCTGTATTTCCTTTAAATGCTGCCCAGATGTGCTCACTTTAATGGTCAAATGCCATCAGAAGGTAGACCTGGACCTTGAAGTGGCCCATCAACAGCACATGGAGATCAGAATGAGCAGATACACGGGTCCCTTGGCCGGTCTTCCCAACCCAGCTGAGCTTTATTTTATTTCTATTAAATTAGTATTTCTATTTTCAGTTTATGCATTAAATGCTCATATGCATATGTTATTGAAATTGATTGCCTTTTGGTTCTGTGTAAGTGGCTGCCCTTCAGGCAAGGTGTGACCTTTACCTTGGAATCTCAAGAACAGCTTGCAAGTCCTCCCTGTCCTGTATTCCCTGTGGCAAAGGCTTGGCAGGCAACATGGTAGACCCATCCTGGAGATCAAAGAGCTCTGTCCAATGGGGTGTTGCCCTGCCACTGATTCTGTTCCACCAGTGAGACCTGCTTCCAGGAGCAACAGAAACAAACTGAAATGGTTATTTGAGGCATTGGACAGGCTGGCTAAGTTTGCACCCTACCTTTCCCGATCGGGAATTAGCATTTCAACTCATTTCGGGGCTTTGTGTAGAAAGTGTTCTCTCCCTTGTGTGGTCCCTGCTTGTGCCATGGAATTGATTGGAAGAACCACTTGTGCAATGGCTCCGTTGGATACTACCCAGTGACTGGAAAGACCAGGTTCCTTGAGGATTACACAGGTAGGCTTCCCCAGAGATTTTGCCCAATACCACTCAAATTGCCTGAAATGTGATTATTTGGCTTTCCAGACAAAATTGATAATATCATATTTGAATATATGTTCCAGTTGCAAAATACTGCCACCCTTGGCTTGGTTTTGCTTTGAGAACAGCTATCTAAGATTTCAATCATCCTAGCCCCCCTCCCAGTGAAACCAGTCCTGTGTTAGATTGTAGTTATGGGTATAACAGCCATTGTTATCTGAATTCCAAATACCTTTGGCAGAGAGCAATTTCCTGTAATGTGTCGTCATGTGATCTTGAATGAGGTACTGACTTGACAGCTTGCAGGAAGAACTAGGAGAAAAAGCTAAGAGAACAAAAATTTAAATTCAGTCAATGGGTTTAAGCAGTATTTTGTGCATTAATAGCAAAAGATTTGAATTCTTACATGTGCAAAGAAATACATTTGCTATCTGAGGAACCTGCAACAAAATAAATGATAATTCAAAGTGATTTTGTGTTTTTCTTTGATTACTCAGTCACTATGGTTTGCAATAAATAATGCATGAGCTCTTTCTGTATTCTTATTACATCACAATTCCTTTATGTATTGTCTCCCATTATACATCTTGGGATAATATTATGTATGTTTAATCTTCAATATAATCATCATTTGGAAAGAGTTAAAAGCAGGGACTAAGGTGAAAAAGCAGAAAGAAATGCATGTTGTTGAGGGTTTAATTTTTACTTCAATGCAAATATGGAACTTGATTTTTTTTCCTCATTTGTTTTACAGAATTTTGATTTTAATTCAATTCAATTCAAGAAGACTAAGTGAGAAGATATAGAAGTTCTGGAGTTCAAAATCCAAAACATCTGGAAGGCACCAGGTTGAGGAAAGTCACTTTAGCTGAATGGTAAGGGTTTGCTATGGGAACAACCAGATATGCTTCCAAATTTTTCCAGGCTTCATCATCAGAATCTTTCATGCACTCTGGACTTCGTTCCTCTAGACAAGCCAGGTACCTGCATATTTCTTTTAATAGCTGGCAGCCAACATAGGCATGTTGGATAAGACCAAGGTTCCATCTACTCCGGCATTCGGTTCCAGCAATGGCCAACCACTTGTCCACGGGATTCGTAAGCAGGGCATGAATGAAACATCACCCTCGTAACCAAGCTCCTAGCTCCCGGTACTGTCTCAGATACTGGAGTTAGCATATAGTCAGCATGACTGGTAGCCATTAACAGCCTTCTCCATCAGGTATTGGTGCAATTTCCTCTCCAGCTGCTGTTGATATGTTTAAAGAATTCTTTGCCATTGGCCTCGATGTTAATGATATGGTTCTCATAGTGCTTCTTTTTTGCATCTCTTATTGAACATGACATTTTAATGCCATAGTTCAGCCATAGAACACTTGGTTGTACATAAAAGGTGGTAGGTAAAAAAACTTTTGAAAAAAGGTGTTGAAAATACTTTTGTCCCCAGTAGAGATGGACAATGCTGTGAATTCCATTTTGTTTAAGCCTGACAATTCCACAGTGTCCATTCAAGCAAGTAATATTGGAGTACAGCAGGCACCTTTCCAGAGGCTAGAGAAAATAGCATTTTTGAAGCTCCTCTTATTGTCTGCTTGCATCTTCTTTGTATAGGCTTGTGCTTCCATCCTACCCCCTCAAATCCGGGCAAGACTTCCATTTTCTGAAGGAACCCTTTATTTCAGAGCTTCCTTCACCCTGCTCATTAACCGTGCAGCCTTTCCTAAACTGTGCTATACATCCCAGCTAGGCTTCTATTATTGTAGTTTTGAGAAATCTCCAAGAATTTTGAAGGGATTCAACCCTCTTGACTCCCCCTTTATACTTGCTTTTTACTACCCTCCCTCCAGCAATTTCCCACTTAAGTACATATTAAATTTGAAAACACTGTACCCAACTGGTTCAACAACATAGTACATCTTGTGTCAGGCCCTGGGTGGCACCACTTAGAATTAAGTCCAGGGTCACCTCTGCTCTGGTCAGGTCCTTGACCAATGCACAAGCACAGACAATGAAGCCAAGGGCCTCTCTATTAGTGCTTCCAGGGCCAGCCGGAAATGAATGGAAACACTCCCATAAGGGAGCTCTGCCAAGCTGCTCCATTCCCCAAAGGGCTGCCTGTGCAACAGAATCTGTGAGTCTGAGCCTCACTCAGGGATGGGCAGTGTTTAAAAATAAACCTATTAAAGTTTCCTTGTAACACTAGCTGTTAAAAGAAAGCAAGAATTTACTTTCCAAAAGGTAGAATAGAATCCATTCCCCACTCAGTTCACTGATAATTGATAGAATGATTTCAAACTGGGAGGAGGAAATTAAAGGGATTTTTATTTTCCATTTTATAAATTATCTCCTTTCTCCACTAAGCTTTCTTAGGAACAGTGCAATTTTCCAGTAGAGGATTATCCTTCCAAGCATGACAAAGTGACAATGTGGCTTGATAGTTAGAAGATAGTGTTACCATTTTTAAAACATTAGGGCAAAAGTCTAAACTTGCTCTCCTTCCCTGATCTGATTACTAGGACTGTTTAAGTCTGTATTTGCAGCTGAAGCTGGAGAAGTGATTGACTGCTTAATCCTCTGTGTCCCCAAGAGGCTGCTTTAATTACCATGTTAGTCTTCAGCATTTTACTGGAGGTAGCAGGGTGAGCATAAAAGCAAGCCTACTGAATGCTCATACTTGATGAGCACTGTGGGTTGAAGTGACATGTACTGAAACTTGAAGCCAGAATGTTGCTAGCATCATTAAGGTAGCTTTCTTGAATGTATTTCCCATTCATACTAATCTTTCTGCTAACTTACAAGTAATTCTAAGAGTTATTTAGAAATGGATTACTGATAATATTGAAACAGAACAATGGTCCATCTGGATCAGTTCTGTCAACTTTCACCGCAAGCAGCTGTCTGGGCTTTCAGAAAGATTTTCATCTTTGAAAACTGCAAGGTTGAAAAGTGAATGTGAGAATTTATATGCATGTAATGCTGTACTTAAGCACAGTTCTCTCCATATGTGCCCCTGTTAGTAATAGGTAGTATTATTTGCTATAGAAGCAAATATATTTTCTTCTCCCTAAAATGGCCTTCATATGTGAAACCATCCTAGAGTGATGAATTAGCAGCAGTAAAAAGTATCAATAGTTTTCTCAGCAAGGGTACTTTTCATATTCCAAAGCCAATCCATGGTGCAGTTTCAATTGGAGTTTCGTAATTACTAATTTACCCTGTATCTGCAGACTAAACTGAAATAGATTTATTTGGCATATTGTATCTTGACTAAATCATATCTGAAATCATACGTTTCCTGTCATCCATCCAAAGGAAGCAATAATACAGTTTGATTGATGCATGAGAAGAGCCATAAAGCATGTCTCTACCATTTGGCTGATGAACCAAAATGTATGGACTGAAATGCAGCAGCGAAGTTACTTTGTTCTTCCCCGTGCTTTTAGCTACAGACATGTTGCCACTGCTCTTAGATGTTCCATTAAAAGGGAGGAGGGAATAAAAGGAAGGAAAAATAAAGCATCAGCTCCGACAATGCAGGTTGTGTGCATGGCCTTGGGGCAGCCCAGATTGAATGGCGACATGAGGAAATAGGCACATGAGTTAGTCGCCTCATCTTTCTTTCGGCATTTAGCATGCCACTGAATGGACATAAGAAGCTGCATAGGAATGCAAAATAAAGATCTCTGTATATGGTTGTATGTTCTAATAAGAGTCCCCCACCTCTGCATTCAATAAATCTGCCTGTAGTTCTTTTACCCAGCAGTTATTGGCATGAGAACCAGGATTAATTAATTGTATTTATAGGCATCCTGTCCTGTCCCAAGAGATGTAGGTGGGTAAGAATAGCTTATTCTTTATCTCGATTAGAGATGAGCAAATTAGCAGCTTTGCTGATTTCTACCTTTAAATTTGTTCTGCCTTGTCTCTCTAGCAGATTGCAAATTTAGTAGGTTTTTTTTTCACTTGAAGATTCATAGATATTTTCATCCACATATTTTAAATATGTACATCATTTGATTAAAATGTTTCTGGGGATTTTAAAAATGTATGCATTTTTCTTGCATTAATCATATCACAAGCTCCAAAAGGATCAGAGTTTGGAGCAAATTAGTTCACAGAACACAACAGTCCACAGTGGATTATTTAATCCACCATAAAGCTGTGATGCATGTGGGATGCTTATGGGCAGAATATATAACTTTGCAAATATATAACCTCCACTTGGGGTTGCTGTCTCTTGTAAAACTGCTTAGTGTGGGCAATGCAAAGGTTGTTTAACCTTCATATAACCTATGATCTGTTTTAGGGATGTTTAACACTTGTATAACCCAGACTTGCTGGATTTGCAAATCATAATGGCCCTCGGATGGGGATTGCATGTGCAACTGGGCACTGGGGATCATTATAGGTTAAGCAATGCATGCCTGGCAAGTCATGGCAAGTCATTTGTATCTGGCCATTGCATTTATGTTCATGCTTAATTTTGGGAGGTGCAAATTGGATATATTCTGCTCAAAAACAAATGGAAATGAATTTCTTCTCTATCCTTAATTGCCCTTCCACAAAAGCAAGCCTAAATAAAAATGATTTGCAGATCTTTTGGAAGATGTACATGGTTGGTTAAGTTTATAAAGGCAGAGGATGGCAAGGCTGAGACTCAACCACCAAGAACATTTATAACAATATTCTGATTCGGTGCATAAATGGAACACTCAAGAATTATTTCTCGTAGCTCTTAAAACTAATCATGGATCACAGGGGTAAGGTGAGTCTTTTATGTATACTGGAACATGGTTCTTCTGGTCTTCATATGTGCATGTTCCAGAAACCTCTGAACTTCACTGCTGCAGTGCATTATGCATATGGCTGCTGTTGAAGGCAGTTCTGGAGTGACAGCTAGTTCAGTCTACTGCCTGGAGCCGGGCATTGTTAAAACCACTTTACCAGTTCTTGAGCTCAATTCAAGGTGCCAGTGCCTGCCTTTAAAGCCCCTCATAGCCTGGAGCTCACGGTGGCTCCTATATCAGCCCACTCAGCCACTGAAATCCTTGTCTCTCCTCTGAATCTTGCCACCATCTCAGCGGGAGAGGATGTTTGCACTGGTGCTGGCCTGACTTTCGAAAGCTCTCCCCAGAGAGGCTTCCCTGGTGCCTTTCCCGTGCAAGTTAAAGATTTTTTTATGCTCCCCTGCTTGTCCTTCTAAGTCCTTTTCTGACACTTTATTCCTGAATGTTTTAGCACTCTCTTATTGTTTGGATTATGGTTTCTGTATGCTATTGTCATTTTAACTTTAATATTTATGGACTGATTTATTACTTAGATTTTTTTCTTGTGAGCTAGCCTGAAAACATTTATACTGATGGATTATAGGCTATAAATCTATTTGTATATTTTAAAATGCTATTGGCAATACGAAGTCCAGAATGCCATAAAGAATGCGTGCAGAAGCACTGAGGCTTCAGAACCCTTCCCATTGCAAATCATTATTATTCTGTAAGCATCTTTGGAATGTTGCTTACTATACCAAAACCAGCATATCAATTCAGATAACATAACCAAGAATGTAATAATTAGGATTATCCATTACTTTGATAAATGGGCAATGATTACACCATTGATTGTCAATTTTTAAATCAACAAAATGCTCTGCATTTATTTCCAAGTGTCCTGTAAATGCTACAGTGCAAACAAGAGATGGACAAAACATTCAAGCTGGATCTTACGTAGTTTTTCATTTTCCCAGCATTACATTTGTTCCACTGTATTTCTGCATCAGTTACTGTAAAAGTCTACACAAAAATTATATGTATGCTCATGCACATGTCTCCTAATACATGTATTTTTGAATCTATATACAACTATACAATTTTAATTTTTAAATGTAGACACTATCACATCACTTGAAAAAGTGCAGATACTGTTGCAATAACTATATTATGGTTCAGAATTGTGAATTTTGTAAGTTTACCTTAAAATGCAAATTGAACTAATATTTTATCCTTCCCCAAGACTCCTACCCTTGTTTTAAAGCTTTCCCAAACTCCACCCTCATATTTTGCACAATATAATTACCTAACTTTAAGTTTTGCAAATGAATAACACTCCGGAAATGCTACAAACCAAATCTAGAATGAAAAAAACTGCTTCAAAGTAAAGCTGTTTTAAGCTGAAATATTCAAATGGAAACACTGCTAGAACTTCTGTACTAAACCTCCTAATCTTCTGTGCTAAGCCTCCTAATTGTTCAAATGCACAGTGGGTTCCTCTTGCACATATTTCACCTGTGGTGCTTTAAAAGCAATTAAAAAATAAAACGCCTAGCACTTTCCCTTCTGAAAATGTATTAATACTTACGGCTACTTTTGATACTCATGTGTCCTTTGAAAGGACCCATCAAAGAATATTTGGGAATCATGGCTTCCTGGAACCCTTGTGGGGAGAAAATAAATAGGAAAAATTAAGGTGTATTGTTTTGGTCATTATTGTTCATATACAATTCAAGAAAACAGTAAACCCAGTGGAGAACTCACATACACACATCATATGTATAGTAGAAAAGATTCTAAATACCAAGGAACCAGGACCTAAATATATTTGGGAGCATCTTTCCCTATACCAGCCTGCCTGTTAGCAGATGCTCATGGTTAAGTACCTTAGGTATGTTATGTGTCAACAGATGGAGAAAGCCTTTTCCACTGTGGCACCCCGGTTATGAAATATCTTCCCTAAAGCAATGTGACTGCTTGCAAACATTGCAATTGTTTCAGCTGCTACTCACACCTTTTTGTATATTCAGGCATTCAGGGTCCTTTTTGTCTGTTTTGTGCTATGTATTGCACTTTGCTTTCATTATAATATTATGGTTTTACTGCTTTTATTGTGTTTTATTCATATTTGGATTCTGCAACAAAGAGCAATTTAAAAATAATAAACAATTTTAACAACAATAAAATAAACTTACATGGTATTGCTATAAAAAGGGCAAATAGTATTTTGGGCTGCATTAATAGAAGTAGCACTTCCAGATCATGTGAAGTATGAGTTCCCCTTTACTCAGCACTGGCTAGGCCTCTCTGGAGTCCTGTGTCCAGTTTTGGGCACCACAGAACTGTCAAAGAAAGATGCAGACAAGCTGGAAAGGGTTCAGAGGAGGGCAACAAGGGTGATTCAGGGACTGGAGACAAAGCCCTTTGAAGATAGAGAGAGCTGGGCATGTTCAGCCTCAAGAAGACTGAAGGGGGATATAATACCACTCTTCAAGTACATGAAGTACAATTACAAACAGGAAGGACAAGATCTCTTCTTGATCACTCCAGAGTGCAGGACACGGAATAACAGACTTAAGTTACAGGAAAGATTGTGATTAGATATCACAAAAAAATCCTGATCGTTGAGCAGTACAATAATGAGATCAATGACCTGGGCAGGTTGTGGGCTCTCCCACAGTAGAGGCATTCAAGATGCAACTGGAGAGCCATCTGAGAGGGATGGTTTAACTGGGAGACCTGCACCAAGGAGGGGATTGGACCGTCTTTGCCCCTTCCAACTCTACTAGATTCTATAGATGCCTAGTACTGTGTTAGGCCGCTGATACATTCTGTTTGTGAGGTTATGGATGGACAAATCAGCAGAACTCAAGCTCATCGAATTTCTTGATTCCATCTAAAAATTCAGTCTGCCTTGAATCTGCATCAGATTACAAACTTTTCATTTTCTTTCCCTTGAATTTCTATGTGTCTTTCTGTGCATATTTCCCCACATGGACAGATAAATTACATTTGTTTTTGAAATGTAAGCATTCTTTCTCCACGGGTGAAACTGTATTTGTGCACATTTTTCAGGAGTATGCATTTTCATGCACATCTTTGGAGGGCATGCATGCTGTCAAGTATGCTTTGGCTTGAGGGAGTTGTAAACTTGGAAGTATATGGACATGGAGCACAGTTGCATTCAAGTCCATGCTCAGTCTTTAAAGTGCAAACTGGATAAATCCTGATTCAAAATGAACTGAAACAATATCTAATTTATCCCTAGACAAGGGCCTGTCTTAGTCTTACCTAGTAATGATGTGAGTTATCACTAAGCTACTGGCTACCTCTTAATCAAATATGATAAATAGCTATCCTAGCTTGTTAGTGGGATATTGCTGGCATAAGACTTCAGCTATTGGGAGGTACATAAATTAAATAAAACAACTAATTAAGACAACAATCTTTTGATTGGATGGAGAAATATGCCATGGAAAAAAAGCCATGGCTGTACAACTTCTTGCACTGGTTTAGCAGTACTGCCCCTTTCTGCACATTTGCCTGATTAATATGTGCATTTACAAATATTCCTCTGTAATTAACCTTTCCCTTGCATCCTGTTACATATTGGATTCAAGTTCCTTGTAGGGTGAAATCACCATTTCTTCCTTCTTTCCCCCATTATAAAAAAGGTTGTGTCCATTTTTACATGTGTGGGCAAAGGAACCTTAATGCCATACTGGAAATATAAGAAGCTGAGCAAAGCATACCAGTGAGTAGAGGGGTCCTGCTTTTGGTACAGTCTTGTCAATTCCCCTTGACTAACTTCCTTTCATGCAGTACTTCACTCAGAGGAGACAAAACTTAAGATTTGCAGCTACCCAGGTTTTTGTTTTATACTAGCAGAAGTTATTAACCACTTGGATTTTTGCATCTTGCTAACAATAAGTCTCTTTTCTGCCTCTGGGAGAAAGAATGATTGTCTTTAAGAGAGAAAGTAATAGTGTGAAGAATGAGAAAAGCAAGCAATTCTTGATTGTTTTTTTCTTGAAAAAAAAGAAGGGCTATCCCACCAAAGGCAAGGGGTGCAGAAACAGTGTCTTTAAATAGTGAGGATGTTGAACAACTCCATGGCACAAGAGCAGCCTATTGAAAGGAGAAATACCTGTGCACCTGCAAACATCTATATTGTTTAGTAATGGTGAACACCTGGGGTTGCCAGTGAGGCATCACCCCCCCCCCCACAAAAAGAGAGAGAGAGAGACATACCTCACTCAGCACAATGGCGAAAGAAAATAAAGAACTGTAATGGAATTAGAATGTATGCTTTATGTATAGGAAGATGCAAACTGTGCACCTGTATGTGTACTGTAGCAATAATTAGTATAATTTGAATACATTGAAACCAGGAGGTCTTTGTGTCTTGCTCAGTGTGCTGACCAGGAGCTAAAGGCTGATGGGCTACTTCAGGACCAGGGATCCTTCAAACAGAGGATGCCTTCAAGCAGACATCTGTTCTCTGTAATATAATACCAACTCTCAATTTTGATAATAAAGTGGGATTTATTTTCTTTAGTAGCCATTTCAGCCCCCAAATATTAAAGAGTTTTTGGGAGATCTCAAATTCACTGTTTACAAATCAGATTTCGCAGTGTGTATAATTGTTTTCAGAACATATAAGTGTAGCTCTAGGTTATAATTTGGGCAACAGGATTGACAAGTGATTGTATTCAGTCACAGGTGTTGTAGTTACAGCACTTTTATGAAGATAAAATGGATTAGAGTGATAAGCTGTATGTGAGTGGTTGATGTTTTATATGAAGTTATTATTATTTTTGGAAGATATACTTACATATAAATCCAAGATGCCTGTGATATCTTCCTGAAAAGTTCTTAAAATGAGAGGTCCAACTGTTATTTATTCAGTTAGGTTGCATCCCAAACTTTCTTGTTCAGACTGATTCATTCCACACTGGAGCTAGAGAGTGCCAAGTGCAATTGCAGATTGAAAAACGGGTGGTTGCTGGGAAGGATGAAACACTGAGTGGACCCAGTCCATTTAATTAGCTCCCCGCCAGGGTTCTGCAATGTTATCTGCAGTAAGCAGCCATACATTGGCTTGCTTGGAAATAAAGCACTGATTACCAAAGAGAGGTTCTAATAAGCTGTTCAAATTCACAGGCTTTGACATTTTTGTTCTGCCCTTTAACTTTTTGCTTAGGTTTCAGTGATTCCTACCAGTTCTCCTCACAGGCTTCTGCAGGGTTGCATTCAGGCTCAGGGAATGAACCATGCACTGTCAGCTGAAATGCAATTTCTCCTTCAGATTTCCTCTCCCTTCCACTGTTACTTTTGCTTAGGGGAAATCCTGTTACAGGCGTATGCAAAAACCTGCTAGGGAATCTCAAGCCAGTGCTTCACATGGAAAGCTACCTTTCCTTATTAATTTTCTGGAGAGTAATTACATATTGTCTCATTATATGCAGTTTTAGCCCATTGCCTAAGGTGTCCACTTAGTCATTGCCACAAAAGAGGACAATTGCATATCTGAATTATTAGTAACACTGAAAAGGTAGAATTTATTATTTATAATTTCAGCATAAATACATTCTACCTCACCAAAGTAGGAAGACTATGACCTGCTGGTCTCTGTGCCTACTCACTCTGCAGTTGAGATGCTGACTGTGAATGGGCCACTTGAAGGTCCTGGTTCTTCTGGTTCTTTATCTTTGAAGCAGATTTGGACTGGGCCCCCTTTTCAGTGGAGGACAACCTCAAAGAAGCATCTGTCCTCTGACAGTCCTTTGAATAGAGGAATGTGCTTTGCGAATGAGGATAGACGACCACCCCAACCGTTGCCTGATGCATTCCTTTAACGCATGGCAAAGGATCTAAGGCTTTTGGCATATAGTTTGCCACTTGACCATCAAAGGCAGCAGTGGAGAGAGAGACAGAGTCTGCCCTAGATATATGCTTTAAAAGCCTGATGTGTAGAAATCCCAAGGCAAAGCTGTGCATGGCATGGAGGTAAGTATTATTAGCTAGAACCGCTATCGGTCACAGGCAAGTTGCTGTCCATGGTATGGGAGCCGGTTAAGGCATTGGCAACTGCAGTGATGCACAGACTTAGCCAAAGGTGGGCTCTGACTGCCTCTCCTGTGCTGCAGTGTTACTACTTCCCTGCCTCAGTAGGTTAGAAGCAAAGCCTCCGAAAAGCACAAAAGGGCCACATATGCAGTGTTGCAGAACTGTGCATAAATAGCCTCACAAGTTTCTCCATCCTACTGGTGGGTAGAGGAATGGGGTGAGGGCATTTCCCCAGAATTATCTGGGATGGGGAGCATTTTCCAACCATTCCTCTCAGATACAGCTCAGCATTGGCAGGGGCTATAGCAGAGCTTTTTTTTTTTTTTTTAATAAGGCTTTTTTTGGGAGGAGGGGAAGTGCATGGCCGCCACAAGAGCTGCGCCAACTTGCATGAGCAGCCTGACTCCCACATCGCATCCTCCCCAGTGCAGGCTGAGGGGGGCACAGTTGCGTCTGGCTCCGGCGAAGGCCTGGAGCTAGCACTGTGTCAAAAACTGACCTCCAATTCCCTGAAAGTTTTCTTCCCCTTAAAAGAGGTTAAAGGAAACATTCAAAATGTTCACTTTGGTACCTAATCACTACAAACTGGCCATGGGAGCTGTGTCTTTATTTTCTTGTCTATTAGACATCTCTTTATTACTCTGCAGGTTCCTGGGCTGCCTTTGTTTCCAGATTCGAAAATGCCCTACTGAGACAAATATTCACAATGTCCTCCCATGAAGTTTTGGAAGGAAGACACAGGCTGCCAGAGGGATAATTTGCAATGAAAGACGGGGCACTGGGTCATAAGCTACAGCCACCATGTCAGTAAGGTAAGCTCAGGAATCCTGAACGTAGCAAAGGAGAATTTCTCCAAAATTTGATTTTGCCTTAAATTTATTTGGAAAATTATTTTCTTCTATCAAAGTGAATAAGAATGATTAAAACACATAGAAGAATTTTTGGCACAGCACTATAAGAGAGGAAGGATTAGTGTGATTCTTTCTTAAGCCTGGAATTCTCCTGTTAGCCATCATTACAGCATGCTTACTAGAATTTTAAGAGAAGTGGAAATGCTACCTGGAAAATCCTCTTAACAATTTCATGTGAGTTTGCAGAAACTACAGATGTTTATACACACACACACACACACACACACACACACACACACACACACTTATGAGACATTAATGGATGAAATGTGCTGGATGGAACCAGCTTAGACAGGATTATCAAGCAAGTTCTGATATTTATCAGTCCCAGAAGAGCCTGCACTGTTGAATGAAATCTTCTGTAAAAACAGGCTTGACTTCACTGGACTTGATAAGTATCATATTCTACTTTAGGGTTCTCGCAGAACTATTTCCATTGGGTTGACCTTCCCAAAGAACAATGAGAAAAGTGGCTTTTTTGTATGTGGTTATCTTCTCATCCAGTGCCTGTTTCATTTAGATATGATTAAATATCTAAATATTAAATATTTCCATACAGGGAGGGATGGAAAGCCCTTGTGCTTTCAGACAAAAGGAAATGCTTTCCCTGGAATGGGTGACTAATAGCCATAAAATAATAGAACACATAAGAAAGTGAAAACAGACGGTTGAAGTGAGAATGCAAAGTTGCAAAACACACAGTGTACACTACTGGGCTCTGCTGGATTATGATGCACTGAAATGGTACCAAAGTAACAAAGGCATTCACAGGAAGGATCACCTTGCTGTAAATATATTTTTAAATGAAGTAATTGTTCAGACATTAAAAAATTCCCTAAGGGGAAATCAAGGAATGCAAGGCTGAAGTCACTGTTGGTGAAAGACAGATCTTGATGTTCAAATTGACAGTAAACTCCAAAAAAAAAAAAAAAGGTAAACTTATTTACTCAGCCTTCTGGTTAGAAGCAAGGGATGTCCGACATAATATAGGATTAGATCCAAGGCAAAACAGTTAACTGCAGATCTGAACAAGTCTCATGTTTGAGGTGCTGTGACCCATCCAGAGAGTGTCAGCTATTGGGCAGTATAGAAATGAAATAAATAACTAATAATTTGCATTTATATTCAGGATGCTAATTATGTTTTTTGTGATTTATATCACATTGAAGACATAGTTCATTACATGTTAATCTGTCCTCTGTGTACTGACCCCAGAGAGAGATTCTTGAAACCCTTGCTATCATATGAATGCAGGAATGCCTTGGTAGAAACAGTTCTTTTTCTTTTAAGTTATACTAATAGTTATCTGACACATAAAATTGCTTTGTTTGCTTTGACAGCAAAAAAATAGCAGGAAGAGTGAATTAGACAAAATTGCTATAAACTGCACTGGAGATTCAGGATCAAGTTAAAGAAGAGCTTTTGTTCATAGCATATTTTACTTTATTCATATTTTATATTGTTAAAATTCTTCTTTTTCTGTCTATGTGCATTCATTTTATATATTTGTCATACACTTTGCCTAGTACAATAAACTTCAATTAAAAATAAGTAAATAACAATAGCTCTCCAAATCCTCCAGCTTGTTCCCTGCTGACTTCCCCATCTCACTGGGGCTCTTCCCACCCTTTCTGGCCATTTGCCTACTTTCCCTTACGCATCCTGGAAAAGAGCTGTTCTTCCAAGGTCTTAAGGAGGAGGATGAGCTTCAGTCCCTTATAAGTGACTGCTGAATCCCTTATTCAGTCCCTTATCCTGCTGAATACTGATTGCAACTTTAAAGGGTGCATTTCTGTAACCTTAAACTTTCATGCATCTAAAGAACTGCAAAGGCTTTGTGAGAGCCATTCTTGGAGACTGAGGTGGATGAGAGGGATGGTCCTAGAGCCTACAGCACCTTATGTTTCTCTTATGAGCGGGTTCAGAGTCTTTTCTGGGACTCCACACCCAGGACCATCACTTCCCAACCAATGGTTCCTTGTGTTGTGGTTAAGCAATTTATCAAGCTTTTTCTAAATCTACCTCATTTCCTTCTCTTCTTTCAGTCTGAACAGAAACAAAATTGTATAACTCTTTGGCATAATCAAATATAAGCTCTCCTCCAGTCCCACTGCAGCACTTAAGAACAGGCAGGATCAGTTCACACCAGGCAGCCTATTCATCAGTATTTGACCTCCACATGGAGGCAGGACCGGAGAAACTGATTGCTTTCTTCCACAGTCAAAGCAGCTCTTAAACATGCTGCCATGCTGTGGGCCTCATTACAGACAGCACAGGGAAGCAGAATTAAACACCTTTCCACTGCAGGCAAACAGCATTTTTTAGGCTAGGGAAGGTGAAGTATTTTGGAAACAAAATACTCAGCTGGGATCCATTAGCAAATAATAATAATGATGATAATACAGTACTTGTCTCTGATACAGATAAGGACAAGGAAAAAATGGATTAGCTTTCAGCATAGATTTGGCCATGTTTCGATAAATAATGTGTAAAGTACCTGCCGGTAGGCTGAATAAATTCTGTTTTGGTTAGAGAAAGTAAGTATACCCAGCTGTAATGTTCCTATTAAAGACCAGATTACACTGCATTAGAGTAGCCAGGAGACCTACCCTTGAGGGCAAAGTCTTCAGAGAATCACTGGATCACAGAATAGTAGAGTTGGAATTGGCGTAGAAACACCATTGGGTCCAACCCACTGCTAGTGCAGGACACCAAGTTACACCATCCCTCTCAGATGGCTTTCCGTTGCATCTTGAATGCCTCTAGCAGGGGAGAGCCCACAAACTGCCCAGATAATTGATTCCATTGCCATAATGCTCTAACAATCAGGATTTTTTACCTGATGTTTAGCTGGAATCTGGCTTCCTGTAACTGAAGGCAGTTATTCCATGTCCTGCACTCTGGGGTGATCAAGAAGAGATCTTGTCCTTCCTGTTTGTGACAGTCCTTCAAGTACTTGTAGATTGCTATCATATCTCCCTACCGTGTTTTTCAGCCTGAACTTGATCTTTTCTCTGAAACTCTTCTCATAGGGCTTTGTTTCCAGACTCTGCGTTATTCTTGTGGCCCTCTTCTGAAGCCTTTCCAGTTTTTCTGTATCTTTTTAAAACTGTGATGCCCAGAACTGAAGACAATACTCTGACTACTGCTCTGTACAGGGGAGCTAGTATTTCATGTAGAAGTGCTACTTCTGTTAATGTAGCCTAAAGTAACATTGGCCTTTTTTGCAGCTAGATTACATTGTTTGCTTATGTTTAGCTTGTAATCTTCAACAATTCCAATTCCTTATCATTTGTAGTATTGTATTTCAAGAGTTGCCTGATAGCAGTCTTCTATTTAAAGGTGTCTTCTACTTAAAGGTAGTTAATCCAAGTCCAATGTAAAGATTAAAATAATAATAATAATAATAATAATAATAATAATAATAAAAAGAGCAAGTGGGACCCTAAAGTTACCCATCAAAACTCCTGGAAGGCAGACTGATCCAGTCAGTCTTTTAAATCTGGTGAAAAGTACTGTATTTCCCTTTATTGTTTTCATCTGTGCATCTGTGCATATAAATTAGCATATGCAAATATCATGCAAGCTGGTACCCTATGGTGGCCTATTTTTGGTAATTCATTTCCTTGTTTTTGATGATGAGTAGGCCACCCTAATCTGTGCCAGGCATGGGTTTTGCCCAGCAAAATAGAGCGCAGTATATCTTCCTCTAGTTCACAGTTCCTCACAGGCATCACCTTCCAGCAGGGCATTCCGTCTTAGCTTTTTCCACCCTCCAGGAGTTCTGTTTTTCTTTGCAAACTGACCCTCAACATTCCATGGCTGCTGAGCATGTTGCATCTTCACATAGCTGTTTTTGGAAAACTGTTG